ATTGAGCTAGCGACGTGGGATTTTCAGGGTCGTTTTGTGTCATAAAAAGACAGATCGAGTTCGAAGAAGAGCATTCTAGCTCAAAAATTGGATTTAAAAAAAATCAAAAACCACAGGTCCCCAAAATGACATTTTTAAACAATATTTTGTATGTTTTTACAACTCATCAAAGTAGAGCCCTTTGTGCGAAAATTTCGTCCGTTTGGCTCTACCTCCAACCGTTGAGGCGCCAGAGGGCGATTTCTATTTGAAAATCACCTCTTTTTAAATTAATGTTTGTTTCTCAGACATTTGATGGACTCTGGTGGGGCGACTCGTCAAAATAAAGTCCTGGGGGTAAAATTTGTGTCCTTTAGAGCCGAAGGGTTATCTACGATTTGCCATTTGCCCGACTCGGGTGTCAGCGCCGCAGGCCTAGCTAGATGTGCGCCAGGCGCGTCGCAGCGTAACAGTGATTCGTGATATATCGCGAAGCCTGTTACGCGAGACGTGGTCTGGCGTACATATAGCTAGTACTTGGCTGAGCGATAAGCGAAGCCTATTACTCCAGTGATGATCAAAAAGTTTCGCGTCTGTCTGTTTGTCTGTCTGTCTGTACGCACGATAACTCGAAAACGGTTTGAGCTAGGACACTCTTATTGGCTGAGCGATTAGCGAAGCCCATTACTCCACTGAACGGAAAAGTTTCATTCTGTTTGTCTGTCTGTCTGTTTGTTTGTTTGTATGTCTGTCCGCACGATAACTCGAGAATGAATTGAGAGAGCGACCTGGGAATTTCAGGGTCGTTTTGTTTCATAAAAAGACAGATCCAGTTCGAAGATGAGTATTCTAGCTCAAAAGTTGGCTTTTTAAAAATTCAAAAACTAAAGGTCGCAAAATGTATTTTAATCAAACATTTTTTTTAGGCGCTCCTAAGGGGTAAACCGTCAAAGTAAAGCCCTTTGGGCGAAAATTTCGTCCGTTTGGCTCTATATTGTACCGTTTAGGTGCTAGGGGGCATTTCTTGACAAAAAATGAGGAGAAAATGATGAAATGGTCGATTAAATCGTTAACTAAAAGACTTCATTTCGAAAGCTTGTTGGCTGAGCGATTAGCGAAGCCTATAACTCCAGTGATGATCAAAAAGTTTCGCGTCTGTCTGTCTGTGTGTGTGTGTCTGTCTGTCATCACGATAACTCGAAAACGAATTGAGCTAGCGACCTGGGATTTTCAGGGTCGTGTGGTGTTATAAAAAGACAGATCAAGTTCGAAGAAGAGCATTGTAGCTCAAATATTGGATTTAAAAAAAATCAAAAACCACAGGTCCCACAAATAATGTTTTTAAAAATATTTTTTTTACAGTTTCCTAAGGGGTACCTCATCAAAGGAGCGCCTTTGGGCGAAAACTTCGTCCGCTTGGCTCTATCTTTAACGATTTAAGCGCCACAGGGAGTTTTTGACGAAAATCAGCGAAACAATGTACAACCCTGCATTCTTTGTCGAAGTGACGGGAAGTTGACGGGCCCCGTATCTTTGTGTACGTTTTTGCGCTTCCCGACTCGGGTGTCAGCGCCGCAGGCCTAGATAGATGTATGCCAGGCGCGTCGCAGCGTAACAGTGTTTCGTGAGATATCGCGAAGCCTGTTACGCGAGACGTGGTCTGGCGTACACATAGCTAGTAAAGGAAGAGGTCGACTATCATTTACTCCATTCGTGGCGGTTCTACCACACGCGTGTTGCGGCACCCAACACGATAAATTTTGATGGCTTTGAGTGCGCTCTTGGTACGTCGCAGCGAACCTTGCGAGCGGTCAGTTTGTGAGAGACAACAGAATGGTCAGATTGACTCATCTTCATGTTTAAAGTAGCATGTCATAACCTTGGTCATAACAGACATTTGAGTTCTGCTATTCAAAGGTTTGAGCTCTGGATTTCTCCAGCAAACATGGACTTACAGATCTGCACTAAGGTTTCATTGGCTGAGCGATTAGCGAAGCCCATAACTCCACTGACCGGAAAAGTTTCATTCTGTTTGTCTGTCTGTCTGTCTGTCCGCACGATAACTCGAGAAAGAATTGATACAGCGATCTGGGAATTTCAGGATCGTTTTGTATCATAAAAAGACAGATCGAGTTCGGAGATGGTCATTCTAGCTCAAAAATTGACTTTTTAGAAAATCAAAAACCCAGAGACGGCAAAATGTATTTTTACCGAATATTTTTTCAGGGGTTCCTAAGGGGTAACTCGTGAAAGTATAAACCTTTGGGCGAAAATTTCGTCCGTTTTGCTCTATCTTGTACCGTTTCGACGCTAGGAGGCATTTCTTGGCAAAAATAAGGTGGAAACGACTAAATGGTCTATTAAGGCGCAAGAGAGGCCTTATATTGAAAAATTGTGCAGGAAGCAATACTAAAACCACACAGTTGACGTCGAACTACACCCTCCTTTAGGCTCAAGGGTCCCTAGATTATTTAGTATCACTAAAACGTTGTTTTTATATAACAATCTGTCAAAATTCGAACCTTTAATGAAGACCGTTATGGAACAGCAGAAGTTTCATGTTTCATGTCCCCAACAAATGCTGTGAGTATATCAAATTTTGGGGCCGGAAGGCCCTGTTCTCGAATCCCCCCCCCCCCCATTAACTCGTCTCAGGTGTCAGCGCCGCAGACCTAGCTATACGTGCGCCAGGCGCGTCGCAGCGTAACAGTGTTTCGTGAGATATCGCGAAGCCTGTTACGCGAGACGTGGTCTGGCGTACATACAGCTAGTTGTTGAATCACTTTCACAACGTCCATGTATAAATTGATGGAAGGGTTTGGTTACATTGCAATACCCATGTCTCACAATGTGCTTAACTTTCTGTTCATCCATGAGACGACTCTGATTTAATTACTCTCCATTACTGACTGCAGTAAAAATATATGAAGATGTAATCGCTTGATTAAAATTCTTAAACATCTGAACAATAGTTCAAACTAATGATCCCATTAAAGAAAGCCTACAATACTCAGGTCATAGTCACATTTATTTGCAGTAAACGCAACTTTAAAAAACTTTAAATTGCAAATTCACAAAACGGAATTAAATGTCAAGTACGTAGTAAATTTACAAATAATAGGTACAATAGTTAAAATGATGATTGCACTTTTAAAAACTTAAATTTATCAGGTCAAATTGGGACCTCACAAATGTCGGCAACGAATTAAACGTGCCCCAAAGATATCGACAAAAAATCATTCCTCACGGTGCAGGGTCTGTCATGGGTTCCAGGCAGATCCCCCAATCTGAAATGAGCATAACAATGTAACATTCTCTTATTTAATGGTCTTCTCATCTTCAAAGATGTCCTGGAAGGCTTGATTAGGGTGAAGAATAAGGTTATACACCCCTTGCACTCTTCGGGATGCCATCCTTAGGAAATCATCCACATCAATTTCTCCTTCCTCTAGGTCTTCTGTCGTTCCTCTAATTTTATCATCATTTGCCAGCGCACTGTGTCGTCTCTTCACATATGCGTTTCTCCCACTGTTTAGAATGATGTGGTCATTTTGGCATATGTATTCAAGTTTCACACATGCAGCTAAAATAAAAATAGATATGTAGATAGATAGATATATAGGTAGATAGATTTCAAAGAACAACTGGTCCGAAAAAATGTAGTGTTAAGTAGAAATTCTGGTTTGTTTTATAACTTCAAAAAAGAAAATAGAGATCTCACCGAGAAGTTGGAAATGTTGGGCCTGTCGCGCTTTGCCTGCCTGTACAGAGATGCGTTGTATGATTCACAGGCGTTTGACGTCCTAAAGTGGCATCCATTTACAGACAGAACTCTCAGGCGGGACGGGATAAGCCATGTTCTGTAATTATAAATGGAGAGGGGAGCAAGCTGCTGAAGATCGTTTTGAATAGCCCTCTGGATAACTGATTGCACACCGTCCAGTATATTTTCTCTCTGTAGCAAGGGCACAGCACAGAGTGACCGGACAATGCTATCAGCCACATTGCCGTCCCTCACCAATGGGCGGAGCCCGAGTTCCTTAGCTGTTTCACTAACATCCTGAAATAAGAGAGAAAAATTTAAGTGTTTACTTTTACAGCTGTGAGGAAAATACTCTTGGAAGGTTAAGCCAATGTTGACATAAACAAGAGGATTTCTTGCAAAGGATACTTCCCATCTCCCTTTAGCAATAAAGAAAAAGATAATGTTCAACTACAGCGAGACCGGGGCAGCCCCGTTGCGTACCGAGCAACAATAATGAGAAACATTTAGACTGCAGTTTTTACTTTTGTGTGATGGAAGTAACACCCCTTGCGTTGAGCATTAGGGTATATTGCTGCCCAGCCAGCCTGCTGTGCCTGCTCAAAGTCACAGACCACTTCAAGCAGCCTAAAATTGGGGCACATTCTTTGAGCTGCAGCTAAGGCTTCAACATAGCATGCAGTCAACTTGCTCTGCATCAAAATGGACCCAAGAGGGATAATCTGAAAAGAAGGTGACTTATCAAGAATGGTAACATGAGCAGCGCGAATACAGTGCAGTTCTGTTTGTTTTGCTTTCATGTGGATGACTTCGTACTCTCCTCAAGGTGACAAGGTTGAACATTTGAGCCGCACCTGACCTGGCAGGGGCAATAAATGTGCCATCACTAAAAACTCTAAGTACCCTTCCACTATTGAGGTATCTTCTCTGTCGTTGGGAGAAAAGCAGGACACATCTTGTTCGTTGTCTTGTGTGTCCTGTTACTCCAGCAAAGATATTGTCAATCTCATCGCTGGATTGAGCCAAAAATTTAGTTTCATCATTCGAGCTAGATCACTGATTGACTGAGGAAGTGGAGGTAATTCCTCTCTCCTTGCCCTCTCCATGGAACGTCTGATCTTGAAAAAGGGCAAATTGGCAATGACTTCATCGGGTGTTCAACAAAATAAAGTTCTAACACTTTAGCATAACATTCAGGGAATATACACTGTGTCGCTCAAAAGAATACTGCACAAATAAATGCTATCGTACCTAAATCTCAGAACCACTTCATTGTATACATCCTGACAAGGTGTCGTATCAGCATGATTGCGGCATTTCAACGGAACAGTGTGTCTTAGAAGTCGCTCCTGCTCCAGAAACATGTGACGACGATGGGTATGATGCCCTGTCTCTCTTTACAGTCACCAGTTTCAAGGTGAAAGCTGATAGCTGCGGTGCAGTGCATCTTGTGATAAGAAACGCAACGAGCGTAACCTCTTCCCTTCATGACGTGGCTGAAACAGAGCTGTAATGCGTTCCCGTCCGGGTACAGCGTCCGGGTCCGTCCGCGCGCCGCTAGCAGGCAGACAGACACATCTGGGCTCGGCTCGCCTCGCTCGCCGCCGGGCGCGCTGGGCCCGACGCGGGTTCGGTCCGGGTCCGCATCGAGACCGCATGGACTCGCACGCACCGGACGCGAACCTTCGCTCTCGAACCCCACAGATGGCAGCACTATGCAGGCAGCGTGCAGGCGAGGGGAGTGGTGGTGCTGTGTGGTGGGGGCCAACTCAGACGCCGGTGCAGCTCTACGCTCCCCCCTCCACCTGGTCCCAGTGCGGTGCCTGCGGTGCGGTCCCGGTCCGGGTCCAGTGGAACCGGACCCGCACCGCACTAGCAACCCGGGACCGCACCGCAAACGTGCGGTCCCAAGGTGCGGGTCGAAATTGGGACCGCATTACAGCTCTGGGCTGAAATGGTAACTGAAATAATTCGGTCAATGTATAATAAACGTGTCTTCTCATCCCACCTTAAGCAACCAATCGCGGTGGCATCGGAGCGGCGAAAAGAAGATCAGATCACCGAATCTTAACCGTGCCGCTGCACATCGGACTTTGTGTAACCGGGTCGCCGCAGACGGAACTTAGTGCACCTGTGCCGCTGAAGATCGAACTTTGTCGATAGGAGGTATCGCTTTGCATTTCAAGTAACTACTTCACGTCCAGTAGAAAGTGTGGAAGATAACCGTCAGAGACTCTGCAGGGATTTTGTTCCGAGCTTATCACCATTTCTTTTTTGGTGTTGTGTCCGCAGATGTTGCAGCCACCCTCCAAAGTATCAGAGGAGGACATCCTGTTAAAGGATGTCATTGCAGCTGGCGTCAAGGAAGCGCTTCTGCAGGTGAGGAAAGAAGTGAAACAGATTTCTGATCAGTTAGCCCGTTCCCCTTTACCTTTTACATTTAAGCTTTGATTAGTGCTTATTAAAAATGTTACTGAAGTCTGGAGCTACGATAGTGGAGATGATTCTGTCTTGGGTGTCCTGTCCAGTGCCTCTTTAGATAATTAAAAGTGCGGATGGTTCATCCTCCCTCAAGCAGTACGATACTTTTTCATTGCTGATAATGTTGTGATTCCTCCTAAATGTCAATAATTTGTCAACATTAGTGCCCATAAGGTTTGAGCTCCCCCATGCAATTTGATTATGCTTCACCTAACACTCGTGTCTCTTGTTTTATATTGTTTCAGAATTAGGAAACTGTCAATTTTCCTATAGTGGAAAAGGTACGAGTTTTGTCTTATACGTCTTAGCTGTGGTCGAGTTCTCTTGCTGTAACGCACACTCTCACAGACAGTTGCTCAGAGTTACTCTTCTTTTTCAGCTCCTTAAGACAACCAGGAAGGAGATTGGCACTGTTGCTTTGCTACCCGTAGCTTCGAAGAGTTGACGAAATCCTTGGAAAAGATTTCCCTTGAAAAGAATGAACTACACCCAGGTCAACTACAGAAGGGAGAAGAGAAAATGACGAAACACACAAAGTAAGTATGCAATTTCCTTAATATTGATCCTGTTTAAGCTAAATGTGCTGATCTAATCTCTGGTCCTTCCCCAGCTTCTCAAGGCAACAACTGAAAAGGTGCCAGAACTTGTTGAGCAGGCCTGTGCTGGATTAGGGGACAATTTCAGGAGCACATGACCACAAGTGTGGATGCTACATGCCTTAAAGTTGTGCAGGAGTTAGATAAGACAATCCTTGATAGGTTTTGTAAAATGGACACAAAAATGGCAGCGATTCAAGTGTCCCTCACCAACAAATCGGTAAGTATTTTTTTTTACATGCTCCAACTCTATTTTTAATTTTTTTAATCTGAAATTTTAATCTAATGCAAATTTACTTCTCAAGGACTCAATCTCGGGAGAGTTGCAGAACTAAGAAGTTCATATTCGAGGCATTGTTCAACATAAATTTCAAAAGATATCGCCTCAGATTTCACAGGAAATGCAAAACGCTGTTGTCGATAAGTTCCGTAAAGTGGAGAGTAAAATTTCAGGGATTGAAGAGATCTTCGTCAAAAATCCCTGCCGGAAAGTACCCGTTCCTTGGTGGTATAATTCATGGCACTCTGGCACCGTGTTCTGGTACCCCCAGAGTACCTTGGACCCGAACGGCGTCAACTATACCACCAAAAAAAACGAGCAGTGGCGTAGAAAAGGAAGACGATATTTACGTAAAAACTCTAGCTTTAACGTCTCGGAAAGTACCTGTTTCTTGGTGATGTAATTCCTGGCACTTTGGCACCGTGATCCTGTACCCCCAGAGTACCTTGGACCCGAACGGCGTCAATTACACCACCAAGGTAACCGAGTAGTGGCGTAGCAAAGGGAGACAAGATTCGACGACGTGCACAAGAGCGAACTGTCACAAGCGCGACCCGTCGTAAGCGCGAATGCCACAAGCGCGACCCG